TAGTGTACTGGTGGGTCCATAGGTGTGGAGCCCTACTCTTGATCTGCATCTTCTCCCGCCATGAGGTCATTGGTTTCCAGGTGGAAGGTGGTCTTGGTTGGGGTTGGCTTGACACGCCTTCCTCTTGGCACATTTCTCTCTTTCGCCCTCCATTCATGCCTCTTCAAATTCTGCAGCATTGTTGGTCACAGCTGACCTCCAGCTGGAGTGCTCACTGGCCAGGGCTTCCCAGTTCTCAGTGTCTATGCCAGAGTGTTTAAGGTTGGCTTTGAGCCCATCTTTAAATCTCTTTTCCTGCTCAGCTGAACTCCCATGAAGAGACTTCAGGAAAAGGATCTTCTTTTTCAGAGGCTTTGTTCACTGAGATATGCTTGTACTTTTCCAAAATCAATAAACATTGACCTTTTTAATAGGCTTTGACAGATGCAGAACAATGCTCTAACAAAACGAACATGGAAAAATTGATTTTCAGTCTTTGTTTGCAAGATTCTGAAGTCCCTATTTTAAAGTGTGGCTGACTTATACCCATGTGCAAATGCCCTTGTAACAGGTTATCCAAAAATTAGAATGCCTGTATTTTGTATATTTGCATATAATCAGATATCTTGGAGATGAGACCCAAGTCCAAACAAGAAATTAATTTATGTTTCATATATATACTCTTAGGGGCCACAGTGGCAGAGCAGGTTACACCACTAAGCTGCAGAACTTGCTGAGTGGAAGGTCAGTTCAAATCCATGGGATGGGGTGAGCTCCTATTGTTAGCCCCAGCTTCTGCCAACCTAGTAGTTTGAAAACATGCAAATGTGAGTAGATGAATAGGTACCACTCCGGCGGGAAGGTAACAGTGCTCCATGAAGTCATGCCGGCCACATAACCTTGGAGGTGTCTTTGGACAATGCCGGCTCTTTGGCTTAGAAATGGAGATGAGCACCACCACCCCAGAGTTGGCCATAACTAGACTTAATATCAAGGTAAACTTTTACCTTTACTTTTTACACCCATGGCTTGCATACAGGTATACAGGCATACCCAGAATGTAATTTAATGTACAATACCTTAATAATTTTGTGTCTGAACCAAAGTTTGTGTACATTGAACCACCAGAAAGCAAATAACTCATTATCAAGGCCACAGTTTTGTATATTGGAATATTTTGGATTTCAACATTCCAGATAAGGGATGTTCAACCTGCAGACATACATGAATTTAAACAAATGGCTGTGTTGTCCATATTTGCCTGTTTTTCTGGACAAAACACTGGTACAACATCAGAATACTCACAGGAACTTTGCTTGCTGCGAAACAGATGGAGTAGAAACCAACCTAAAATATGTTGATTAAGAATATTCTTGGTAAATATTTTTATTTCAACTCATTCTTAGATTATCCCAAGTGTGTTTCCTCTTTAACCAGCAGAGGTCTCTATTGATCCATCAGATGGCCTGCCAAAACCAGTACATTTTCCATGACTTATGGCATGATGTCCAAACCTCTCAGGCCTTGTTAGAAAAGTAGGTTAGTGTGTTTTTTCATATTTATCATCCCAGTAACTGAAAAAACTCCTAACATATAAAATGTAATCATAAAGATAGTGAGAATGCTAATCAACTGTCCTCACCTGCATGGACTCCAGATGTGTGGGTTACACCTTCAACCATCCACACAATACAGATTTGGGATAGCTGAAAGTAACACAACAGGAAGCTTTTGACCCATCTTATGCCACCTCAGTCTTGAAAGACAGACAGAGCTTCTTCTTTTTTGTGTGTGTCAGGAGTAACTTTGGCCATCTGCAAGTACGTTACCCAGGGGATGCCCAGATGTGTTACCATCCTGTGGGAGGCTTCTCTCATGTCCCCGCATGAGAACCTGGTTTGACTCTGAAGGAGCTGGGGATGCTGATGGCCAACAGGGAAGTCTAGCGTGGGCTGGTCCATGAGGTCACGTAAAGTCGGAAGTGACGGAATGAATAAACAACAACCTGCTGGCATAAGGGTTTAACCCATTGTGCCACTGGGGGCTCCTTACAGGCAGAGCTGATTTAAGACCAGCCACTCACCTCTATAGCTAAGTCATCTAAACCCAACAATCTTTGGCTCCCTGCTTTTTATTTATCCTATCAAATGAATTGACTTTCTTTCAAAGCAGAGATGGGTCTGATGGTCAGACATTGTCCCTGGAAATTGCAGGGGGATGACATGATGGCCAACAATGTAAAAATCACAAATCACAAGGGAGAAGAGTGATGACCCACAAGCTTATAGATGAGATCTGACTGAAAGAACTGCAACAATACCACGTCTGGTTTATCACTCCTTTTTTCTATCTAAAAGACAGTTCTTGCTATTTGAAACAGAAATGTTTTAAACAGAGGATGGATCAATGTAAATAACGTATTTAGAATCCAGCTGTGAACTCTATTAATTCCCATGGTTACTGATTCAGTAAAGGCTGTGTGTGTGTGAGAGAGTGTGTATACACACACAATATATCTGTATCTAGAATAAATGCACTGTGTAGAATGGGTCTGAAAATGAGATTTTGAGAATAGAAAAGAAAAGAACCTTGATTTTCAGTGAGGAAAGGGTACAAGTGTTTCGTTTCACACTTTATGAACAGGCATTTTCTGTCCTCCATGTACGTTCAGAAATGATCATCTGTGACTAGCTGGGCCATGAAATAAGTAGCGATATCTGAATGTATATCCTTCCGAAAGACATGAAATAGGGATGGAAATATCTATCTAAATCCATTTGTACATCTCTGTGTGCAATATTTTACGTATTTTTTAGTCAAGTAGGCATTGAGGTTTGGATTTCCACCCATATTCTACCCCAACTAGAAATCAGTATATAACTGAATCTAGAAAAAAATGAGTAAAATGAGCAACATACCATCTCCCTTTGCAGTCCTGAGAGTAACACACACACCTCAACCATTTAATGTCCATTTAGAGGGGCTATCCAAATAATAAAAAAGAGGGATTGCAGGTTTTGCCTTTCTACTCATCACTTTAGCATGGTCTAAATCCCAAATTAAATAATATGAAAACTATGTGCATTAGCATTTCAAGTGGATTTTATATTCCCTGGAATTGCCCCAAGGACGAAATTACCTTTTCATCAGGCTTGAAAATGAGGTTAATACGACAGTTACGAGGCCTTGAGAAGCTTTCTGATAATAAAGCTTCTCAAAGTGCTTTTTTTTCAAGTTCAGCCCATAACTATATAAGGTACAGTGCTTGATTTTGAACCAATTTAGTTATAATGAAGTTGTCTAGTACCTGGACATGGTTAGTAATTTGTAGTACATGGAAAGTATATGGTACAGTAGGCTCTCAGTTAACTAGCACCCATGTGTTTGATAGATACCAGATAAATTGAGTTTCTGATTGTTTGAGAGTTAGTACGTATTAAATCACAAGCTAACAAATACTAACATAGGAAAAGTGGCTAATGCTCAGTGTCAAACCACTTTTCTCATATGCAGCCCCACTCCACCATTTCTGCCTACGGCACATCCAACTTAGTGGAGTCATGGTGCCAGCACTACAAAGGGGAATTTCCTCAGTCCTGAAAACAATACTGTCTGTATTGATTTATTATATATTAATTTATATCCTATCTTTTCCCAAAGCTTGGCACTCAAGGGTAAATACTGCAGGATTATCTAATGGTATTCCTTCATTATATCAAAACTTGAAAACTTTGGCAACAGTAAAAGGCTTCTGAATGCCACCCATATACACAATTTTGTTCTCAACTATGTGCAATGTTTACAGAAGACCCTGTAGAAAATGCTTCAGTTGTACTCTACAAAAAGGAAAATCAGCCTATTTAGCAAGCCTTGAAAATGCTGTTTGTTTTTTTATACCTATTTGATATATCTTCTAGCCTAGGTATCGGGTGATGCCCATTTAGGTTAGTAATTGTTTGTTTTTAGTTTCTACAAATGATGCTACAATTCCAAACATCATGGGTCACTTCTCTCCAAATCCCACCAGTATTTATAGTTGGTCATGTTGGTCATGTGTGTCATGTTTGGTTGAGATCCATTATGCACAGTGCTCTCTGGATGAGGGTGAACTACAACTCTCAAAGTCATGGGTCAATTCCCTCAAAAACCTGCCCATAGTTAAAGTTGGTCATGTTGGTTATGTGTGCCAAGTGTGGTCCAGATCCATTATTGGTTGGCTGTACAGTGCTCTCTGGATATGGATGAACTACAACTACCAAAATCGGGGGTCAAATCCCTTCAAATCCTGCCAATACTTATAGTAGGCCACATTGGTTATGTGTGTCGAGTTCGGTCCAAATCCATCGTCAGTTAGGTGCACAGTGCTCTCTGGATGCGAGTGAACTATAACTCGCAAGTTATGAACAAAATAGATTCTATAGGTTTGTTTTTAAGTTGAGTTTGTATGTAAGTTGGAACAGGTGCATTTTAAGTGTAACTTCAGCCATCTATCTACCTACTTACCTATCTTTGGATAGCATAGGGAAGGCTTAACACCCATGTGGTGTTTGTGTTGCTGTCTGTGCCCCTGTTCAGAAGATTGCACGGCACTTTCTATCCCTGTGATATTTGGATTTTGGAAGATTTGGCTTCTTGTGGAAATAAGGATTGTTGATAAAGCTTCAGTGGAAAACTTTTCCCCATGAGAACTCTTTCAGGAGTGAATTGTCCATCCAAGAGGTAGATTTCTCTCACTTCCTGTTGTCTTGCCCCCGTTTGTAACTATGAGTCATTTGTAAGTCAGATGTTTGTAACTTGGGGACAGCCTGTACCTGAGATCACATAAAAATGTCTCTTGTGGAAAGGGTCGTGAGTGGAAAAGTTTAAGATGCTTGGCATTGATAATTCTAACTGATTGGATTGTATGTCAACTGTTTGTAACCTTTTCATGTTTTCATATCCTACTTTGTTTTTGAACCCACGATGCAAAGATGACCTGCCTATTGTTGCAACTTGGTAAGTGAAAAAACAACAATGCTTGGTTCTGCATTTGAATTTATTAAATGAACATTCCACAGTGATCTCCTTTCCATATTGAGCCTCTTCTTCCCCCAAAACTGGGGAGTCCTGTTGGAAAAGGATATGCAAATAATTGTCAGACTACAGTAGATGTGGGTTAACTTTTAAATGCTTCTGTCTAGTATGCACTGTCTATCCAATTTGCGTTGCTTCTGTTCACCCATCATCATTTTGTATCTATGGATGTTCCGTACCCATGGAAGTACACAGACATTTTCCCCCACTTGATAGAATAGGAAGGGTTTCCAAATGATCAGCATTTTCAGTAAAACTATGTACCAGAAGTTAAAAAGATAGAGCAACCTTGTTAGAAAATTGTTTTGTAATTAATCTCATGCCAGATCTGCCAGGACACACCAAATTCTGCAATTCTGTACTTCTCACATGCACCCTGGAGGCAGGATTGTTGGAATCGAATGCTGGCAACTCTGGGAATAAATGATGCATGCAAGTTACTCAAAGGTCGTATTGTGAACCTCAATTATCTGTCTGGGGGAAGGGAGAATGAGGATTCTGATTTACTGTTTTCTTCCATTACATCTGTTTGGGAACCAATCCAAAAGCATTCAGATTGTTTTAAAAAACCAAATCAAATTAGAATGAAATTAGTTTATAGCTTGGTTGCTGTTTCAGATTATGTTTATTATCTCATCAAGATACAAGCGCTAAAACCAAGAAAAATGTCAAACACACATTTAAGTGTTTTAAAATCAGTGATCAGATTTGGCCAGATTTCTAAACCATAGTCAAGTATTAGGTGGAAAGTCTTTTCTTCCTGCTTTTTACTCCTCAAACATAGTCAGAGAAAGGGCTGGAAACATCTGCTTTTGTGCTCTTGCTTTCAAAGCAAGAATTGTAGTGAACTATGATTTATCCAGATAAGTCTGTTCAGAAACCATGGTTTGATTCTGGCATCCTGGCATCAACCACACCTTAAGCCAGTGGGCAGGTGTAGGGATTCGGGAGGGCCATTTTCAGCTTCACTGCTGGTTGCTTCCATTGCTGTTTGTAGGTCAAACCAGGATTCCTAGAAACTATTTTCAATCAGTTTTCAGAATGACCTGGGAGAGAGGCAAACAAAACCCTCTCGACTACTGCATGAAGTCTTCAGGTGGCTTGATTCCTATTGGCAGTTTAATCGTAGATTATCTGAATGTGAGTGAATCCAGTTTTTCCCCTTCACCTGAATTAGAGAGTAAGACAGGAGAGAGCTTAAGTCTGAAGGGTTTGTGCCTGTTTTGATAGTTCCCCGGGTTAGATGATCTTCTGTGGGCCATCCACATGTTGTACGGCAGTTCTCACCATAGGTTATTGGGCACTGTTTTGAGTTTGAATAATTGTTTTATATGCTTGTTGTTTTATTTTTATTGTATTGTGTGGTTATTTTTTGTGTTGTTCCATGCACATTGTGCCATATGTAAGCTAACCCAAGTCTCTTCGGGGAGATGGGGGGGGGGGTACAAAAATCAAGGTATTATTATTATTATTATTATTATTATTATTATTATTATTCTGACACAAAAACACAGCATGTCACAGCAAACGAGATCTGTATGCTGGATTTTGTATCACAAAATCATAAGTCGATCACTTCCCAAGCATCTAGGACTGTGTAATGTATTTTTGAATAATTATGATTATGATTATGATTATTTATTATCCAGTTTTCTCCCTCTTAGCTCTCAAAACTTATCAAGATGTAGGTAATATCAGGTAACTGTGGTGAATGCAGCATTGGCTCCAGCAGGCAAACGCATCCTCCGCCTGGTATTATAAAAAGCAGATGCTATCCATACAATGTCCCTTCTATCATACATACAATCTGTGCCATACATCCAGACAGTTATTCCAAACAGTCAAAACTAGGCCATTACCCGGAGGACATTTTCTTTGACTGATGCTAAATTGTGGAATAACTATCCAGAAGAGATTTGTCAGCATGATATACTATGTTCAACTTAATTCAGCCCCATCTAGCATTCATAAACAAATTATTTTTAAATTAGGTCTTTAAAAATATTTATTAATAGGTTTTAGAATTTATTGGTTTTATATGCTCTGGACCTTAGAGAAGGCTGAGTGAAGGAAGATCGATGCTTTTGAACTGTGGTGTTGGAGGAAAGTTCTGAGAGTGCCTTGGACTGCGAGAAGATCCAACCAGTCCATCCTCCAGGAAATAAAGCCCGATTGCTCATTGGAGGGAAGGATACTAGAGACAAAGTTGAAGTACTTTGGCCACATCATGAGGAGACAGCAAAGCCTGGAGAAGACAATTATGCTGGGGAAGGTGGAAGGTAAAAGGAAGAGGGGCCGACCAAGGGCAAGATGGATGGATGGCATCCTTGAAGTGACTGGACTGACCTTGAAGGAGCTGGGGGTGGTGACGGCCGACAGGGAGCTCTTGTGTGGGCTGGTCCGTAAGGTCATGAAAAGTCGGAGACGACTGAACGAATGAACAACAACAATATGCTCTTTTGAGTCGCCGATAAGGCTGAGAAAGGCGGTATACAAGTATAGCAAATAAATAAATAAATAAATAAATAATGTTGAATGATTTTTTTTGTTTTGTGTTGTTCCCCACCACAATCTATAAGAAATTTATTTATTATTATAGGCAGGTATAGCCACCATTGCCATCATCTTTACCCCTAATGATTCTTCCTCTAGTCCTAATATCAACACTATAAAAAGGCACACATAATTTAAAAAAACAAAGATTATGGCAACAAGAATGATTGATAACTGGGAAATAGAGGGAGAAAACAAGGGAAGTGACAGACTTTGTATACCTAGGTGCAAAGATTACTGCAGACGCAGACTGCAGCCAGGAAATTAGGAGACGCTTACTACTTAAGAGGAGAGCAATGCCCAATCTCAATAAAATAGTGAAGAGTAGAGACATCACAGTGGCGACGAAGATCCGCATACTTAAAGCAATGGTATTCCCCATAGTCACCTACGGATGTGAGGGCTGGCCCATAGGGAAGGCTGAGAGAAGGAGGATAGATGCTTTTGAACTGTGGTGTTGGAGGAAAGTTCTGAGAGTGCCTTGGACCACGAGAAGATCCAACCAGTCCATACTTCAGGAAATAAAACCAGACTGCTCATTGGAGGAAAGGATAGTAGAGGCCAAGATGAAGTACTTTGGCCACATCATGAGAAGAAAGGAAAGCTTAGAGAAGACAATGATGCTGGGAAAAACGGAAGGAAAAAGGAAGAGGGGCCGACCAAGGGCAAGATGGATGGATGGCATCCTTGAAGTGACTGGATTGACCTTGAAGGAGCTGGGGGTGGTGACAGCTGACAGGGAGCTCTGGCGTGGGCTGGTCCATGAGGTCACAAAGAGTTGGAAATGACTGAACGAATGAACAACATATATATGTGTGTGTGTGTGTGTGCGTGTGTGTGTATTATTTGCAGTTACAACTAAGGCCAGTAAAAATAAAATAAAACTTCAATGAAAGAACTGCTGCCTTGGGAATAGTGAGCCAGCATGCCAGAACAAAAATGGAACAGCCTCATTGCATCAAGTAAGTGATGGGAACATGGTGCAATCTATGGCTATTGATGGGTTTTCCTGTTGATAGTAGGGAATAGGTTTATCATAGTGTGATGGCAGACCGGTAAAGGAATGTACCATATATACCTGCTTCAATGCTGACTTGTCATCTTCGTGCAATTAAGTTCTTAGAAAAGGAGGAGCTTGGGAAGGGATTAGGACTTTAAAGGAGACCTCAAAAAGCATAGAAGGAAGCCTGGCTGGCCAGATTTGGAGATTTTGCATCGGTTTCTTTGGTCTGGGATAGAGAACACATGGCCTGCCAGAAACTGATTGCAGCTCCCATCATGCCCCACTGACTATACAAATAGGAGTTGAACAAAATGAGGTGAGTCACACAGTCCCTAATCTATAGGTATCGCCTATATTTCTAATCCAAGCAGAATAGAAATATTAACCATTTCATACCTACTCCTGTTTTTCCTTTTGTTTCTTCAGCATCATCCAGAAAGGAAAACAGCACATCCAGCTGCTCTCAGTCCTGTGAATGATATTATTATTGTACAGTACATTGTACATACGGTACTATGAGGCAAGTGTATATAAACTCCCCCTCCCATTAATTTATGTATAAAAATATACAGTCTGCATCTATATCCACCATCCCTGGCTTGAAAATATCCCATGTAAAAAAATCCTAACAGCAAATCTTGATTTTTCCATTATAAAAGGGATACAATTTTACTCAGCTGGTGTGCATAATGGAACTTGAAAACCCATAGATCTTGCTATCCATGGGGATTCCTGAAGCCAATCCCGTAGATACCAAGAACTCACTGTATGGAGATATTTTAACAGTCAAGTTGCTTAAATGTGAAGTATAAAGAATAATCAATTAAATGTGAACTATGTTGAAGCCAATAGTTCTCAATACATGATATTCTTCTTGGGCCAAAACACTGTCCCTGCTGGGCAGTAGTGTGGAGAGAAATATGGTGACCCCTTTTCTGTCACCTGGCATGACCCTTTCCCAGGCACCAGCAAGCCGGGGATGCATTTCCTAGGATTCCTGGTGCCTACTTTGGTACGAATATACTAGATGTCAGGGAGGATATAGGGCTTTAGTGATACTCAAAACTGTGCCCCATGAAAAACTGGCAATCAGTTGCTAGTCTTTGGAGAGCTTCTGGGAAAGAAAGGAACAGTGGGCTAGCCCCATATTATTGAATTATGATCATATACATTGATCACATGCCATTGTAATTCATTTTGGGTAATTCTTGCAGATATTATAAAATAAAATAATTCCTAGAAGTATAGTAACCTGAAAAGATAACTGTTCAGTGGGCAATATCTCTTAGAAGCACCAATGATGGCCAGGGCATAAATCAACATGGCACCTATTTCTGAAAGCAAAGAAAACCTACAGATCTTTCTCTGATCAACCAACTGAAAGCAGAGCTTGGAAATGGTCATTTTGGACTACAGCTCCCATGATCCACAGCCAGCATGGCAGCGACCCTACTGATTGAAGGAGCTTCTACACTGACACATGAATGCAGCTAGAAACTGGTCTGGGAGGAACCAGTTTCACTGCACAGTAATCAGACTACCCTGCCTGGGACCAGTTTGAGTCCAGGAAGATGATTACATTGGACATGAAACTGACCTCAAACTGTCTTGTAGTCCTCCCCCAGCATTTCTGGGAGAGAGGCATATCAGTGCTCCAGAGACCTAGCAGATGATAAAAGAAAGGGAAAGGGACAGAAAGGAAAAGAGGTGTGAATTTCTCATGACAGGGGGCCCATTAGTCCCCTGCTACCCTTGGGGTGCCTTTTGGCAGCTCCTGTTCGGGATTCTTCACTGGCCCACAATGCACACAGCTGGTTTTGCCCTGTTTCTGGGATACACAGGCATGTACTGCAGAACATTTTTTGGCTGAATCCAGACTTTCCTGGGGCTTTTAAAAATGTGCTGAAAAACACAGCAACACTCATTGTAGGTGTGTATTTTGAGGGTACCACAATCTCAAGTTGACTTAGTTGACTTAGTACTGCATTATATGGTCAGTGCAGAAGGGCCCTGAGAGATTCTTGGAACTATAGTCAAAAAAGTCATATTTTCAAGTTCTGCCTGGAAAGCCTAATAGCCATAAAAAAATATGAAGAGAGCAAAACCCACAATTGTAATTGTAAATATGCTTACTAGGAAGGACATAGTACTAACTCTGTCATAGCTTCCAGAGTTATGTACTGGACCACAACCTGAATTTTTAAGGCCAATGTTTTTACACAATAATTTTCTTTCTTAAAAAGAGCCATACACAGTATCAGGAGATTCTTCTTCCTTTTCGTGCTCCTTGCCGTCTGTCAAGATATCTTCAGTTTTCTGAGTCAGAGAAATGTTAATAAAGAGTGATTTCTTTGTTAAATGCTTCAAGCTAATAATCTGTGACAGCGGAGTTCTTTTCTGGGAACTTTCTTGCTCAAAATATTCGCTTCGGGTCACACATAGTTCAAAACATGTGACTTCAGTAAAACGATTCCTATTTAAAAATATAAAACATGCTTCATTGCATTGCTGGTTTTGGACAAATGGTGCATTTAATTCAAGTCCCCTTTGAATGTCATGGCAAAGTGCCTTTAGTTCTGCCTCAGCACAGTTGAAACATTTTCTATGTGTGCACAAAGTTTTATTGTTAATAATATGTGAATCAGAGACCATTCCATATGACTCTTAAATTCAAGGCTCATCCCTAAATTTACAGCAAAAATGCTGTAATTAATTTTCCTTTTCTTGTGGCTGCTTATATTGTTAACATTTTAACTATTTCTTTTCCTAAATTTTGTATTGTAATCCACATTGAGGGTCTCTGGCGGGAAAGGTGGAACAGAACTGTTTTAGTAAGTAAATAGATTGGATCACTGAACCATGCTTTCACATTCAAAGTGGGAGGGGATCTGGGAGGCGAGATCAGGATATATCTACTATGTGCTTGCTCAGCCATACTACTCACATGCTATAGTTTAAATAATACATTAAAAATTTAGAATGCCCTCCAACATTTGAAAGATGAAAAATAGGACACATGTAGACAAATAATCTGAGAATGTAGTCAAAAGGCTATCCAGGCATCAAGAGACTGAAAATTCTTGATATGGAAGAACATAAAGAAATAAATATATTAAGTAGGAAAAAAAACCCTAAAATGTATCTTAAGTTTGTGAAAATCCCCCCAAACCCCAAATGAGTATGCTAGGAAATGAAAGAAATAAATACAAACTTTTGGGAAATCAGGTCATAGGTCCAACAGCGTAATTCCATTTGACGACTAGTATTATGTGGATACGTGATGATCTGCACCATAAAAATGGTGTAAGTGGGTCAGAGCAATTATTCATTATTGCATTAATCAACCAGGTTCCATTCAGATTTATTGAACTTCAAATTCCCACCATTCCAGGTGTCTGGGGATGATGGGAGTTGTAGTACTATAGATCTAGAGGACAGTAAGTTGTGGATACTTGTACATTTTGTTCAGGCTTGAGCTATGTATGTGCTCAGAGAGAAGCGAGAAGCAAAGAGAGAGTTTGGAGTGTGCTCCCACTTCATGTGCTGTTGAAGGGGTTTAGCCACATGAATAAAAAAAGAAAATGTTAAATCTCTCCTAAAAGGACATTATGTGAGTTGATGCAACTGATCACATTGTATATATGTTGTTCTGAACTATGAAGAGTAAACTACTTGTTCTTTATTGATAAAAAAACAGGGTTGCTGTGAGTTTTCCAGGCTATATGTCCATGTTCCAGAAGCATTTTCTCCTGACATTTCACCCACATTTATGGCAGGCATCCTCAGAGGTTGTGAGGTCTGTTGGAAACTAGGCAAGTGGGGTTTAATATGCCTGTGAAATGTCCAAGGTGGGAGAAAGAACTCTTGTCTGTTGGAGGCAAGTGTGAATGTTGCAATTGATCATCTTGATTAGTATTGAATAGCCTTGCAATCTCCTTCTGGAACATGGTCATACAGCCCAGAAAATTCACAGCAACCCCATGATTCCAGCCATGAAAGCCTTTGACAACACAAAGGATTAACATTTTTAGTTAAAAGTATACAAGCTTTTAAATTTTTAATAAAGTTGCATTTACCTTAAAAGGAAGAAAAACTTATATTATTAAATGATAGTTTACAATATAACCTCCAAATCGACAGGACCAGCTCCCATTTAATTTATCAATTTCTGATAAAAGTTTATCTCTATTTGGCATTTTCTGGGTCTTCCAGCAGTCTGGTATTCTTGGATCCTCTGAAGATGCCAGCCACAGATGCAGGCGAAACATCAAGAGAAAATGCTACTAGAACATAGCCAAACATCCCAGAAACCACACAAAACCCCTGTACGTACCTCGTTCATGCCTACCTCTTCCACTGTGTCTCTCAGATCAATCTCTACAAATGACGACAAGTCTTTCTGTGAGAGAAACATAAAATAAGGCATTAAAAAGTTTTACAAGATCTTTGTACACGTGTGTAATGCAAATGATTCTTTCTAGAGGAAAGCAGCTGCTTTCCTTAATGCAAAACAGAGAAGCCCATGGGCTCTTATTTCATGTGTGATTAGTGACAGAGAAGTGGAAACCAGAGACATTATTCTCCTGCTGAGCTTCCAGTATAATTGTTTACTGCATGTAGTTGGAACTTCACAAAGTGGTCAGAAACAGAGTGTATAGTCAATACAATACTGACAATACTATTTAGCTGAACAAACGGGATCCCAAAGGGCTGCTATATCAATACAATCTATTATGTTGGTGCTATAAGCACTTTAGCACACCAGGGCAGTGCCACCTCTGCAAAGCCTATAAGGACCACGCAAAGGTATTGTAGGGTGATTGCATATTCAGGGGGGCCTTGGTATCTGCTGGGGTTTGGTTCCAGGACCCACCATTTGGATATGAAATTCCATACATGCTGTTATATACAATGACAATGGGAAATGGTAAAATGGTATCTTATATTAAAATGAAAAAATTAAGCTTTGTTATAGGGTTTTCAAAAAATATTGTCAAGCCATGGAAGGTTGAATTGATGGACGCAGAACTTGTGGATATGGAGAGCTGACTGTACCCATCAGTGGTGTGTGGAGGAGGAAATAGCAGATAAGCCTCAGTTATCTTTGCCCAAAAGTGAAGATAGTTCACCATGCATGAAATAATCTTCACATTTTTGGTTTGATTTATTATTTTGTAATATTAATGAACTTCAAACTTGTAGAAAAGTTGAGAGAGAATCTTTAAAATAAGAAAAATATATTGGGAAAAGTCCATACCACAATAAGCTTTTTGTTTTTTTATAGTTTGAGAATACATAGCATAGCATAGCATAGCATAGCATGCAACGCCATTCTGGGCAGAGTTGCCATCATCACACTTATTCCCTATGTCCAACTTATTATTTTTTTAAAGTCAGTTGCTCTGCCCATGGTCTAGTTGGGTTCTTGCTGTATCCCAGAGCTTCCACCAGAGCTTTTTCTTTTTTTTCTGCAAGTCGCTTCTGGTGTGAGAGAATTGGCCATCTGCAAGGACGTTGCCCAGGACTGATGAGCCCTTATATTTATACTATATTTATATACACTTAAAACCTTTTCTATATGGATAGGACCTTTTGGAACAGGCTTTTTATGCGCATAAGGATTGTGTGGGGGAGTGAGGATCAGTGATTTTGATGGAATCAATGAGATGTAGCCTTAATACCTGGTTGGATCCTGGCTATGAAGCTTGACATCCTTTTTATTTCTTGTTATAATCACGAGGAAAGCCTTCCATAGCAAGTGAAAACAGTGGGGATTCAATTCTGTTGTGTTGTTCTAAATGTTAGATTGGTTAATTAAAAAAAATCTTATTCATATCATTGAGAAAGCAGTGCTTTACTGAACACATGTCTAGTTCAGCTGACCAGACTTGCATCTGTCTAAATAAAATGGTATACTTATTAGACCTGTGTGAGCAATGAAAAAATGTTTTAATACCCATTACTAAATTAGGGGTTGGGTGGGGAATCTTTTCTAAAGTATTTCCTAAACTGGACAGGGTCTGTATCATAACTATAACAAAATAACTACTTTTTGTTACTTTTTTGTTAAGTGATTGTGTCAATGGGGAAACTTCAGTGGCTCCTTTCTCCCTCACTGTTAGGTCTATTGATATGAAACTTGTTACAATGATAGAATACATTCACTACTGTTAGCCCACCAAGTTTTGGAATGTTTCACTCATCTACTGGTTTTTGGGGAATTTTCAAAGTTTTGACAAACAACATTTTTTCTTTAAAAACAAGAGCTATCTCCTAGAATTTTCTATACAATGGCGCAAAATAACGGGATCATTCTCTCCAAGTTTCAGAAAGATTCGCGCATCTACTGCTTTTTGGGAATTTTAAAAAGTTTTGGCAACACATCCCTTTGACCTTGAGAGGCCTGCTTCTGCCTCTCTTTCTCATGGGTTTTCCTGCACCTGAATCTCTGTCCTCTCAGAAGCAGGCTGGTATCTCTGTCCAAGCCAGCTTCTTTTTCAGATGAGCTAATGTTATCCTCCTCTCCCTGCCTGTTGTATTCCAAAACAGTTCCATTTTCACACTGTATTCTCAGAGACAGCATCTTGCTCCAAAACCCCCTTCATTCCCTCAGCTACAAAACCATATTGCTCTAAAAAACCCTGTTTGCTCACTTACAGATCTATCAGGCCTTGAACCCCCAAAACCCTCATTTTATCTGGCTGAACCACCACAACTGAATCCAATTTTAAAAAAATCAAACTCAATGCTCAGCAACTTTTTTTTTTGGAGAATAACTGTACTGTACTTGCCTTTATTCCCAGGAAAATATCTTCCAAATCAATTTCTGTCTTTGATTTCTACAGATTTAAAAACAGATTATTTAGTACATGGAGTCCTCATTTTTTTGCTTAACAAAGTCAGTGCTAAACCTAATTTCTGTATACTCACCATAAACCTGTGATAGAAGCTTCCTTTTTCCTGTTACTTCAGCCTTTGGCTGTTTGATGATGCTGTTGAGCTTTGTCTTTACCTTACTGATTTCCTCATTTATATTTCTAGGTAGCTATAACAATATGTGATCTGTGCATCTTAATTACCAAGACATGCCCTTTATGCCTTGCCCTCTTGCTCCTGAGTCCAATATCAGTTCACCTATGCACTTGAGCCAAAGTTTTATTCACATCTGATGTAGGGCCTGTAAATTTGAGCTATCTTCTGGCACTCATTGTTTCTGGCGCATCAAGTATTTCCAAATCTTAAAATATTTGCCTCTCCCTAGTGGTTGGCTCCTCCTGTACATATGGAGGATATGCTAACAAGAACTAAGATATTTAAGGGTCTGTAACACATGGGAGAATCTGTCATGTTTCTATCCAATAACACATTTATGCTCCCTGTCCAATTTGTCACATCCCTTCACTCAGAACTCAACTTTTCTCAGTAGCTTCTGTTCCCCTGACCCTACATTGCTTGAGCCTGTAATGCAGGCTGTATTACATATTTGTTGTCATTGTGTGCCTTCAAGTCTGTCTCCAACTTATGGCTGCCAAAATCTTAAATGGTGTTATTAGTTCCAAATAAAATATGTCAATATTGGTAAATTGGATAAACACATATAAAGGAATTCTGTGTATATTGTTATATGCAGAGTTGTTTATCCTCATGTACATTTTGTACATGCACATTTTGATTTGAAGGTCTCTGTTGGTGCCTATTGCAATGTGTCGACCTGAAGGAAAACAGCTGGACACATCGTCACTGTTGCTTTGGATGTACAACTACCTGGAAATGGCCATACTTAGGTGAGAGAGTAGCTTAAGGGTTTCATAATGTAAATCTCTGTAATGAATTGTGTTACACAATCCTTATATTGACAGGCAGCACTGGCCAACTGACTGTCCAAACCAAACATACAACCCAATGCACAACCAGACATACTGACAACATGAAGCAGTATGCCATGCATGATTATCTCTTTGGTTGATACACACATGAGTAAGCAGTTGAAGTCCAGAAGGATTATGGGACTCAGGCAAGGTAGGAAGCCTATTCATACCTGACTGATCTTCAAGTCTCATATTCATAGTGTAATGTGTAGACCAAACTATCTCCATCCTAGTATTTTTCCTTATGTGCAATTTCCATAATTCTTTGTGAGCATAGTTAGCTTGGGGGTGGAGAGTATCAGGTTGGAGAAGGTGGGTGATGATAAACACAGAATCACGGGATAGAAAAATAAATTATTGTTTAAAGCTAGACTCAGTAATACACAAGTCCCATTTATTTAAGGAAGTTTAATCTAAGCAAGCCGTGACCATACAGCACTTGGATAACTTGAATCCCAATAATTTTAGTAGTCTATCTCAGCATAACTTGTGTATTACTCAGTATTGTTGTTGTGGTTGTTGTTGTTGTTGTTCATTCGTTCAGTCGTCTCCGACTCTTCGTGACCTCATGGACCAGCCCACGCCAGAGCTCCCTGTCGGCCGTTACCACCCCCAGCTCCTTCAAGGTCAGTCCAGTCACTTCAAGGATGCCATCCATCCATCTTGCCCTTGGTCGGCCCCTCTTCCTTTTGCCTTCCACTTTCCCCAGCATAATTGTCTTCTCTAGGCTTTCTGTCTCCTCATGATGTGGCCAAAGTACTTCAACTTTGTCTCTAGTATCCTTCCCTCCAATGAGCAGTCGGGCTTTATTTCCAGGAGGATGGACTGGTTGGATCTTCTCGCAGTCCAAGGCACTCTCAGCACTTTCCTCCAACACCACAGCTCAAAAGCATCTCTTCCTTCGCTCAGCCTTCCCGAAGGTCCAGCTCTCACATCCGTAGGTGACTACAGGGAAGACCATGGCTTTGACTAGGCAATGGATCTTTGTTGCCAGTGTGATGTCTCTACTCTTGACTATTTTATCGAGATTGGACATTGCTCTCCTCCCAAGAAGTAAGCGTCTTCTGATTTCCTGGCCACAGTCTGCATCTGCAGTAATCTTTGCACCTAGAAATACAAAGTCTGTCACGGCCTCCACGGTTTCTCCCTCTATTTTCCAGTTGTCAATCATTCTTGTTGCTATAATCTTGGTTTTTTTGATGTTTAGCTGCAACCCGCCTTTTGCGCTTTCTTCTTTCACCTTGATTAGAAGGCTCCTCAGCTCCTCCTCGCTTTCGGCCATCAGAGTGGTGTCATCTGCATATCTGAGGTTGTTAATGTTTCTTCAAGCAATTTTCACCCCAGCTTTGCATTCATCAAGCCCCGCACATCGCATGATGTGTTCTGCATACAAGTTAAAAAGGTTGGGTGAGAGTATGCAGCCTTGCCGTACGCCTTTCCCAATCTTGAACCAGTTGTTCCGTGGTCAGTTCTTACTGTTGTTACTTGGTCCTTGTATAGATTCCTCAGGAGAGAGAC